ATCTTTATTGATTTCAGAGAGAGGAAGGGAGAGGGGGAGAGAGAGATAGAAACATCCATGATGAGAGAGTCGTTGATCGAGCCCACAACTGGGCATGTGCCCTGACCGGGAATCGAACCCCGATCGCCTGGATCCTAGGTCGACACTCAACCGCTGAGCCACGCCTGGCCGGGCTAAAAAAATTTTTTTAAATGATGCATGAGAGGCTTGCAGTTCAGCACGCCACTCCCCGCGGGAATCTGCTGCTGTAAAAATGGGATAGTGTGAGAGCTGGGGGAGGACTGTAGGGTACAACCCACTTGCAACGGTCAGCAAAGCAACGGATACACCGTAGGTGCCTAATAAGTGACAGCTTGAGTCAGAGGGACCTGTGAAATGGGGCGCAAAGCTGCTACCACGGGCTCCTCAAAGCAGAACCCCTCTCGGCCACCACGGCCTGTTTTCTCTGGCACGGTGCCCGCCTGTCCACGTCTGGGCTCACGTCCGTCCCTCCCCGCGGGCTCACCTATGAGGTCCGTCTGGAAAAGCGCCTCCATGCAGAGGAACGTCTCCTGCCCCAGCTCGATCTCCCGGCCGTCAGGCAGCTGGTGCTTCCCCGGGTGGGGCGACAAGAGGAACCCCTCCTTTTCCTTGTCGAAGTCCAAAGCCACGTGGCAGCATTTCTCTTTCAGGGCCCGGATGTACTCCCGTTCGCCTGGGCAGGAAGGGGAGGCCAGGTGGGAAGGGTGTGAACAGGAGGTGAGCTCGCAAACCCAACCCCGCTCCTCGCCGTGGGGACGGGACAGCACAGCCACAACGGCGTCTGCTCTCATCTCAGATTCCAGCACCTCTGGGTCGGGGGCGCGCGTGGCGGCCTGCGCTTGGGGTCGAGAAGGTGGAAGAGAGATGCCAGGACTAAGGTGCAAGCGTCTGCAAAATGTCCGGGTTTGTAGGCTGAACCTACTCTAAAGGGTGTGTGTTCAGGGGGCTGGGAAAGCAAATGCAATGTTAGCACCTATTGAAGTAGGAGGCACTGTTGGAGCCCCATCCCCACCTACAAGGGCTCACAGCTGCCCCCTCCTCTGCCCCGGCTGATCGAAGCCCCTCCTCTGGGAATGTCTGGGTGACTGACGGCAGGTTCGAGGCCCAGCCGGGCCTTCTGGTGTTAATGGTTTTATACTTCATTTATCACTGTTTTGAGTTTGGGTCCAAGGGCACGCCCTGCACCAGCTCACCTGGCAATGGAACTGATTCTACAGCCCACCTGGACCCTCGCCCACTGACACTGGTCTTGCCCTGATATGCCCAGTTCCCAGCCTGCCACACTCTTCGGTTCCTTCTTGGCCCTTTCCTCCCACAGCTGATGCTGTTAGCCATGCCCTTCTGTCTCGGCGGCTGGGACACTGCGCACTCCTGGTATTTTCCCTTCCTTGCTTAGTCTGGGCTTTGCTGAGACACATCTACATTCAGATCCCACCTCTGCCATTTACCAAGTGCCTGGCGTTAGGCAAGTTCATTCTCCATGTAAACCTTCCTTTTCCTCATCTTTGAAGCTGGTGTCGGTCACCAGTCATGGGACTGTTGTAGGAACAAGATGAAACAACGCCCATAAGGATCCTGTGAAATGTCTGACTTCATCCTAGCCGGGCCTCCTCACTCTCTCTTGCTTCTGCTTTAATCACTGCTGTTCTTTAGGGTTCCATGCTTTGCTTGGCTTTGGAGGCAGGCCTCCTGCCTTAGATGACCAGAAGGTACAATGCAGGGTTGTGGGGGATTGGTATCCAGTCCAGGGACTGGATGAGCAGTGGGACAGGAACCTCCTCACCTGGGGCCCTTGGTTCACAGCCCAGCTGCTACACCTACTAGTCAAGGGATGTAGAAGTCACCTAACCTTCCTAAGCCCCTTCCTCTTCCAATGGAAATAATTGCTCCCCCTCATGATGATGTGGCACAAAGTAATGAGAGGATATATGTGAAATGTTTACTTACTGCAGCACCTGCACAGGACAAGTACTCTGATAATCTTAGCTCATCATCAGGGTCATCACCATCATCACCATCATCACCACCATCATCACCATCACTATCACCATCATCACCATCATCACCATCACTATCACTATCACCATCATCATCTCCATCACCACCATCACTATCACCATCATCGTCATCACCATCATCACCATCATCACCATCATCACCGTCACCATCACCATCATCACCACCATCATCACCATCATCACCATCACTATCACCATCATCATCTCCATCACCACCATCACCATCACCATCATCATCATCACCATCATCACCACCATCATCACCATCATTACCATCATCACCATCACCATCATCACCACCATCACCATCATCACCATCATCACCATCACCACCATCACCACCATCATCACCACCATCACTATCACCATCATCATCACCATCATCACCATCATCACCATCATCACCATCACCACCATCACCATCATCACCATCATCACCACCATCACCACCGTCATCACCATTATCATCCCAAAGCCCTTAGACACAGGTGGGTTGTTGGTCAAGTAGCCTTAACTTTACAAACTGAGGCCTGTTGCCCTGGCCAGTTTGGCTCAGTGGTTAGAGTGTCAGCCCATGGACTGAATGGTCCTGGGTTCAATTCTGGCCAAGGGTACATGCCTCGGTTGCAGGCTCGATCCCCGGTCCTGGTCGGGGCATGTGCAGGAGGCAGCCACTCAGTGCTCAATGTGTCTCTCTCACATCAGTGTTTCTCTCTCTCTCTCCCCCTCCCTCCCCCCTTCCACTCTCTCTGAAAAGCAATGGAAAAATATCCTCAGGTGAGGATTAAAAAAATAAATTAAAAAAACAAAAACAAATTGAGGGCTGCAGGTTGAACAAACTGAAAGGATGTTACCCCAGAGACTGGCCCACAGTAGCAACTTCCTACCTAAGGCTATCAGCGAGTTCCCTTTTTCCGACAGCAGTCGCAGGAGGTACAGGGTTATGTCTTGACCCGCAATGTCCATCTGCATGGTCGACTGGCGCAGAGGACAGCCCTCGATGACAGGTACGAAGAACGTCATTCCTTCTCCGGACTCGACGGACGTCCCTAGACAGGAGAGCACGCTGGCATCCTGGTGTAGAGGGCATGGCGCCCTCACCACCCGTCAAGTCAGCGGGAAGAGAGGGCAGAGGGGAAAACCATCGGAGGGGAAGGCCGCGCTCTGAGGAGCAAACTGTCTTCCCCGTGGGGAGCATGCTGGGCGGGGGACATCCGGGCCAGACCAGGGACGACTATTCTGGACAGACCTACGGAGGTTCTTATTACACCGGACACACGGGCATCAGCGGCAGGCGCCAGGGAGGTCAGAGGGGAAGGAGGGTGCTGTGCCCCTAACACCTCCTTCCGTCAAGAACCGTCTGCGCGCTGATGCGGACGCTGGGGCCCTGGAAGGCGCCGGGATGGGCAGGAGTCTGCGAGCCGTGCGGGAGGCACGCATGCCAGGTGCCCGGGAAACGCACGCTCCCTGCGCTCGTCAGAAAGGGCGAGATGTGGCGATGGGGACCCGGGGCCTCGCTTTGTGTAAAATGGCTTCTTCTGGGACCGTCCGCAGCCCATTAGGGCATCTGGGTACCTGGCTGTGGAGTCTGGAGACCAAGAACTTCAAGTTTAAAGGGAGCACCCTGAGCCAAGACGAGCTCCACGCCCGGCTAGGACGGGGCAAGGAGTGGGTCCCCCCCCGAAACACCTAAAACATAGAAGGAAATACAGGAAACAACGGTTTTCAAGATACTGAATACCAGGCAACAAAGGACAGCGTCCCCGAGAGGCAGGTGTCACGAGACGACTCCGGCCGGCCATCACGCCTCACGCGGAGACACAAAAGCGCCAGGCGCGATGCCAGCCCAGGGAATCCAGCAGCAGCCCAGGAGGACCGCAGGCCCGACAAACGGGCCCTCTCGAGGCGCAAGGGTGTTCCAACATTCAAAACGCCGTCAGTGTGATTCACCACATGAAGGAACTAAGAGAAAATCCATATGGTTCTATCAGTCGATGCAGAAAATGCATCTGATTGAATTCCATATCCATTCATAATTTAAAAAATAAAAAACTCAGCCATCCGTCCTCATGAAGCCCTCCTTCACGCCGACATGGGTGTCTCTGAAAAACCCGCAGCCGACGCTGAACTCGCTGGGGAGACTGAAGGGTTCCCTGTAGGGTCAGGAACGAGAACAGCTCCGGGCCGGGGGCTCCGGCCGGGGCAAGGGGCGAGAAGACGCACCGAGGAGCGACGCGTTCGGAAAGAAAGGCAAACGACCTGTGGGCAACGGGATTGCCTACGTAGAAAATCCAATGACAGCCACAGGAAAAAGCAACCGGCACAACACGCGAGGTCGGCGAGGGCACCAGGTGCGATATCAATATATGCAAAAAATCAACCGCACGTCTCTACACCAGCAACGAACGGCCGGAAATTGAAACAAAGACACTTGACACCCGGGAGCTGTCACCGCATCTGTCGGCTGGAAGACTATATTGCTAAGATGTCAGTTCTCCCAAAAACTGATCTATCGATTCAATGCAACTCCAGTCGAAACCCAAAGAGGCTTTTTGGGTAGAAAGCGACAAACTGATTCTAACATGGAAACGTGAAAAACCTAGAATGGCCAAAACATTACCAGAAAGAGGAGACTAAGGGCGTCGCCCTAACTTGGTCCTATTTCAAGGCTTATAAAAGCTCCAGTAACCCCGGGGATGTGTGTTAACCAACAAACAGACAAACGGGCAGAACAGAAGGCAGAGAAGGACCCACACGTACACGTGAGGGCCACTGACTTTCCGAACACCGTGCAAAGGCCGCTCCGTGCAGGGAGCACAGTCTTTTCAGCAGAGAATGTGCGAACCACTGACATTTAGACACACACAAGGGTCATCTGCACCTTGTACTGTGTAAGAATGATTTCAAAGTGGATCGTAGAGCTAACCGTAACACTGAAAATTATACAACTTGTAGATAAAAACATAGCAGAAAACCTTTGAGTTCGGTGTGTATTTCTTAGATATGACACCGAAAGCCTGATCCGCAAAAAAAAAACACAAATCAATCCATTGGGCTTCATTAAAATAAAAAACTCTCTTCTCCAAAAGACACGGTAAGAAAATGGAAAGTGAAGCCACAGCCCGGCTGGTGTGGCTCGGTGGTTGAGCGCTGACCCGTGAACCAAGAGGTCACCCGTTCAGTTCCCGGTCAGGCCACAGGCCCGGGTCGTGGGCTCGTCCCCAGTCGGGGGTGCAGGAGGCACCCGATCAATGATGCTTCCCTCTCGTGGATGTTTCTCTCTCTCCCTCTCCTTTCCTCTCTCTCTAAAACTCAATTAAAAATATATTTTTTAAAAAAAAGTGAAGCCACAGACTCAGAGCAACCATTTGCAAAACATGTCTCACAGAAGATGCACCTTGGATGCAGAGGATCCCCGAGACTCAGAGATGAGCAACTCGGTGAAACGCGGGCCTGACGTGTGAACAGACATTGACCGGGGCCGATACACGGATGTTAAGCACACACGTGAGGAGACGCTCGACGTCGTTAGTGGCGAGGGAAACGCAAACCAAAACCGCAACGTGATCCCGGCGCAAACCCGTTAGAACGGTGGCTGGAGACTGGGCACAGCAAGTGCTGGCGGGAGCGCCGAGGACCCGGAACGCTCCCGGGGGCCGCGGGGGGCTCAGGGCGGCTCAGGCGGTCACCTTGGCGGTCACCTCCGGCAGGTCTGACAAAAGTTCAGCTGACGCCCGCCACACAACCCAGGCGCCTCCCTTCTAGACATTTACCCATAAAATGAGAGCGCACGTCCGCGCGAAGTCTTCGTGGCGTCAGGTGCCCGCGGCGGCTTCCTTTACACCAGCCCCGCGCCGGAAACGAGCAAAACTGCGTTCACAGCGCAGCAGACAAGCCACGGACGGGGCAGCCACGCGGCGAAACGCGACCCGGCCACGAAAAGAAACCAGCGACTGATGCGAACACCACCACGGAGGAATCTCCAAATAACCGTGCTGAGTGACAAAAGTCACGCCAAACGGGTGCACACGGCGCCATCGCAGGGACACAAAGCTCCAGGAAACGCAGACGCCTCGACTGGGACGGGCTGGGGCTGACGGGCAGAGGGGCGGCGCGGGGAGGGGACAGGAACGTTCAGAGGTGATGGGCACATTCACTGTCCTGATTGTACGTGGGACTGAGCCTCAAGCATGACCCAGGAGGTCAGGGTTCGATTCCCGGTCAGGCCACAGGCCCGGGTTGGGGCTCAATCCCCCGTCAGGGGCGTGCCGGAGGCAGCCGATCAATGACTCTCATCATTGATATTTCTCTCTCTCTCTCTCCCTCTCCTTTCCTCTCTCTGAAATCAATTTTTTTTAAAAAAAACATCAAACTGTGTGTCCTAATCACGGGGACTTCATCGTAGGTCAATCGCCCCTCAGTACCGCTGTCCAGAAAAATGCAAGTCCAGTGGGAGCACGTGGTTTAACCAGGACAGGCGAAGAGGGCCCGAGGTCGAGGAAGCGCTGGCAGGTGTGTGTTCCGTGGACTTTCCTTTCACTGTTTGCAGGGAGGGGGTGGGCACGGGCTCCCCCCCTCCGGGGCTGGGCTTCTGCAGGGCACTCACCCGAGATCAGGCCGGAGGAGTAGAGAGAAAGGACCCCCTGGTTGGCCAAGTACAGGGCTGGCACGTTAAAGGTCTCAAACAGGATCTGTGGAGAGGCATCGGGCAGCGCTGGCAGCCAGGCCGCAGGCAGGCGGCCTTTTGTTTGCCTGCATGTGCCCTGCCTGCAGGAGGCACCTGGCTCCCCCAGAGAGATGCAGACAGTGGGGTTGGGGAGCAGGGACCCGTCGCCCCAGCTCTGCCCGGCCAGGCTCCGTGACACTGTTTCCCAGTCTGTAAAATGGTCTCACACCCCCCCCAGGGACCCTCCTGGACATCAAGAGGGCATTTCATGGTCTCGTGAGGACGATTCTGCCCCCGAAATGCTCTCGGAGGGCAGGCAGGCTGCAGGGAAATCCCGACACCGACTCGGGATGACTTGCTTGTTGCATAACAATGGAAACAACAGAAGCTAACAGCCGTGTGTTAACTGTAGGCCAGACACTCAGTCCCCACAGGGCACAGTCAAGGGAAGTTTTCTGGGTGCTGACTGTACCCGGGGCAAAAGCAGCAACAGGGGAGATAGGATCTGGCTTCCTCTGCCCACGGTGAGTCCCCTGGGTACGTGATGTTGGGCTCCCCACCTGTCCACGAGAGACCAGGGTACAGGAATGTGAGGGAGCAGGAGCCAAGGTGGGCTGAACATGGGCTGCTGGGCACGTCAGGGCTGCGACTGGGTGAAGTTGGCTGGGTGACGGGTGACTCTCCTATAGGTGGTGACACTGAGTCCTACAAGGTCAAAGGTTTTTCTGATGCCACTCAGGGCGATAAGAGCCAACACTGACAGGTGCAGCTCCGAACCAGAGACGCTGCCCGGCGGGGCCCTGGGGGCTGTACCGGGGGCGGTGGGGACATGCTGGAGATCGGCTGTGTGGCCAGCACCATGGTTTGTGTCAGGGCTAAGTTCACATGTCAACCCGACTGGGCCACAGAGGTGGGGCCCCTGCCGAACATTTGGACAGTCACTTTCCTGGGTGAGCCTCCGAGGTGTTCTGGGCGACAGTCACATTTAAGTCGACGTGGAGTAAAGCAGATTGCCCTCCCCAGGGGGGTGGGCCTCACCCAGTCAGTCGAAGGTCTGAATAGAACCGAAGGCCTGATAAGAGGGAATTCCTTCTTCCTGATGCCTTTAAACTGGGACATTGGTTTTACCTGCCTATGGATTGGAACTCACACCACCGGCTCTCCTGAGGCTCCGGCCAGCTGACTCACCCCGGGATGTGTCCACCTCCATAGGCCCGTGAGCCAATTCCTTATATCAAATCTCTTTCTATAAACGTATCTCCCGCTGTTTTGTTTCTCTGGAGGATTGTGTCTAAGTTTGGGGGAGTCATGCTCCCTTGGGGTGAGGGACATCCTGCCTCTCTCTGTCCAGGTCCCTGGGGCCCCGACAGGCAGTTGTCATTCTCAAAGTGGGGACCTGCTGTTTCTGGGCTGTGGGCTCTGGGCCTGGTTCACATGGAACCGGCTGTGGCCCACTTCTGTGGCCACCTGGCCACGTGTGGAGGAGGTTCCATAGGCGCCTCAGGGCCCTGTTCTAATGAGGCCGCAGCTTAGGCCTGCGCTGTGATGAACGGTGTCTCTTTCTGGGTCACGGCATGAGCCTCCTGTGTGCAGGTGGTGCCGTGGCCACGGGGGCTGCCCTCAGGGTCACCACTCGCTGAGGGACACACGCTGGGCCCCGGGACTCCAGGCCACATGGTGGACCCTGTCGCCTGCTTAATTAGCTCACCCAAGTCCTCAGTAGGAGTAGCCTAAGGGTGCAACTGGAACACAGGCGGCCAGCGCAGCCCCTGAGGCCCCACCCACCTGGACCCTGTCTGCACCCTCAGGGCCTCCACCATCCAGTTCAACCCGACCAGCACATGCAGCCAACTTCCTTCCTGGGGGCAGCCGGGGTGAGAAGGGGCTCCAGGGATTTAAGTCAGAGCCAGACATCCAGACAGAACACACAGCGTGACAGAGCTGAGGATGGGCCGTGGAGCCAGGCCCTGGGGGTCCCGGGCGGTCTGCAGCCACTCGCCCTGTGACCTCGGCCCGATGGCTTACGCTCCTGAACCCTCCGAGCTCTCCCTCGGTGCACAGGGGCCAGTGGTCGCCCTGCCCGAGGGCGGCTGTGAGATGAAATCATTCGGAGTGAGCCCTCGCCCCGCCTCACAGGCCCACGAGCCGTCCTCGGTGGCCATCATTCTTGCCGAAATGTCAAAGGGCACAGCTCTCGCTNCCGGGTCGTGGGCTCGTCCCCAGTCGGGGGTGCAGGAGGCACCCGATCAATGATGCTTCCCTCTCGTGGATGTTTCTCTCTCTCCCTCTCCTTTCCTCTCTCTCTAAAACTCAATTAAAAATATATTTTTTAAAAAAAAGTGAAGCCACAGACTCAGAGCAACCATTTGCAAAACATGTCTCACAGAAGATGCACCTTGGATGCAGAGGATCCCCGAGACTCAGAGATGAGCAACTCGGTGAAACGCGGGCCTGACGTGTGAACAGACATTGACCGGGGCCGATACACGGATGTTAAGCACACACGTGAGGAGACGCTCGACGTCGTTAGTGGCGAGGGAAACGCAAACCAAAACCGCAACATGATCCCGGCGCAAACCCGTTAGAACGGTGGCTGGAGACTGGGCACAGCAAGTGCTGGCGGGAGCGCCGAGGACCCGGAACGCTCCCGGGGGCCGCGGGGGGCTCAGGGCGGCTCAGGCGGTCACCTTGGCGGTCACCTCCGGCAGGTCTGACAAAAGTTCAGCTGACGCCCGCCACACAACCCAGGCGCCTCCCTTCTAGACATTTACCCATAAAATGAGAGCGCACGTCCGCGCGAAGTCTTCGTGGCGTCAGGTGCCCGCGGCGGCTTCCTTTACACCAGCCCCGCGCCGGAAACGAGCAAAACTGCGTTCACAGCGCAGCAGACAAGCCACGGACGGGGCAGCCACGCGGCGAAACGCGACCCGGCCACGAAAAGAAACCAGCGACTGATGCGAACACCACCACGGAGGAATCTCCAAATAACCGTGCTGAGTGACAAAAGTCACGCCAAACGGGTGCACACGGCGCCATCACAGGGACACAAAGCTCCAGGAAACGCAGACGCCTCGACTGGGACGGGCTGGGGCTGACGGGCAGAGGGGCGGCGCGGGGAGGGGACAGGAACGTTCAGAGGTGATGGGCACATTCACTGTCCTGATTGTACGTGGGACTGAGCCTCAAGCATGACCCAGGAGGTCAGGGTTCGATTCCCGGTCAGGCCACAGGCCCGGGTTGGGGCTCGATCCCCCGTCAGGGGCGTGCCGGAGGCAGCCGATCAATGACTCTCATCATTGATATTTCTCTCTCTCTCTCTCCCTCTCCTTTCCTCTCTCTGAAATCAATTTTTTTTAAAAAAAACATCAAACTGTGTGTCCTAATCACGGGGACTTCATCGTAGGTCAATCGCCCCTCAGTACCGCTGTCCAGAAAAATGCAAGTCCAGTGGGAGCACGTGGTTTAACCAGGACAGGCGAAGAGGGCCCGAGGTCGAGGAAGCGCTGGCAGGTGTGTGTTCCGTGGACTTTCCTTTCACTGTTTGCAGGGAGGGGGTGGGCACGGGCTCCCCCCCTCCGGGGCTGGGCTTCTGCAGGGCACTCACCCGAGATCAGGCCGGAGGAGTAGAGAGAAAGGACCCCCTGGTTGGCCAAGTACAGGGCTGGCACGTTAAAGGTCTCAAACAGGATCTGTGGAGAGGCATCGGGCAGCGCTGGCAGCCAGGCCGCAGGCAGGCGGCCTTTTGTTTGCCTGCATGTGCCCTGCCTGCAGGAGGCACCTGGCTCCCCCAGAGAGATGCAGACAGTGGGGTTGGGGAGCAGGGACCCGTCGCCCCAGCTCTGCCCGGCCAGGCTCCGTGACACTGTTTCCCAGTCTGTAAAATGGTCTCACACCCCCCCCAGGGACCCTCCTGGACATCAAGAGGGCATTTCATGGTCTCGTGAGGACGATTCTGCCCCCCAAATGCTCTCGGAGGGCAGGCAGGCTGCAGGGAAATCCCGACACCGACTCGGGATGACTTGCTTGTTGCATAACAATGGAAACAACAGAAGCTAACAGCCGTGTGTTAACTGTAGGCCAGACACTCAGTCCCCACAGGGCACAGTCAAGGGAAGTTTTCTGGGTGCTGACTGTACCCGGGGCAAAAGCAGCAACAGGGGAGATAGGATCTGGCTTCCTCTGCCCACGGTGAGTCCCCTGGGTACGTGATGTTGGGCTCCCCACCTGTCCACGAGAGACCAGGGTACAGGAATGTGAGGGAGCAGGAGCCAAGGTGGGCTGAACATGGGCTGCTGGGCACGTCAGGGCTGCGACTGGGTGAAGTTGGCTGGGTGACGGGTGACTCTCCTATAGGTGGTGACACTGAGTCCTACAAGGTCAAAGGTTTTTCTGATGCCACTCAGGGCGATAAGAGCCAACACTGACAGGTGCAGCTCCGAACCAGAGACACTGCCCGGCGGGGCCCTGGGGGCTGTACCGGGGGCGGTGGGGACATGCTGGAGATCGGCTGTGTGGCCAGCACCATGGTTTGTGTCAGGGCTAAGTTCACATGTCAACCCGACTGGGCCACAGAGGTGGGGCCCCTGCCGAACATTTGGACAGTCACTTTCCTGGGTGAGCCTCCGAGGTGTTCTGGGCGACAGTCACATTTAAGTCGACGTGGAGTAAAGCAGATTGCCCTCCCCAGGGGGGTGGGCCTCACCCAGTCAGTCGAAGGTCTGAATAGAACCGAAGGCCTGATAAGAGGGAATTCCTTCTTCCTGATGCCTTTAAACTGGGACATTGGTTTTACCTGCCTATGGATTGGAACTCACACCACCGGCTCTCCTGAGGCTCCGGCCAGCTGACTCACCCCGGGATGTGTCCACCTCCATAGGCCCGTGAGCCAATTCCTTATATCAAATCTCTTTCTATAAACGTATCTCCCGCTGTTTTGTTTCTCTGGAGGATTGTGTCTAAGTTTGGGGGAGTCATGCTCCCTTGGGGTGAGGGACATCCTGCCTCTCTCTGTCCAGGTCCCTGGGGCCCCGACAGGCAGTTGTCATTCTCAAAGTGGGGACCTGCTGTTTCTGGGCTGTGGGCTCTGGGCCTGGTTCACATGGAACCGGCTGTGGCCCACTTCTGTGGCCACCTGGCCACGTGTGGAGGAGGTTCCATAGGCGCCTCAGGGCCCTGTTCTAATGAGGCCGCAGCTTAGGCCTGCGCTGTGATGAACGGTGTCTCTTTCTGGGTCACGGCATGAGCCTCCTGTGTGCAGGTGGTGCCGTGGCCACGGGGGCTGCCCTCAGGGTCACCACTCGCTGAGGGACACACGCTGGGCCCCGGGACTCCAGGCCACATGGTGGACCCTGTCGCCTGCTTAATTAGCTCACCCAAGTCCTCAGTAGGAGTAGCCTAAGGGTGCAACTGGAACACAGGCGGCCAGCGCAGCCCCTGAGGCCCCACCCACCTGGACCCTGTCTGCACCCTCAGGGCCTCCACCATCCAGTTCAACCCGACCAGCACATGCAGCCAACTTCCTTCCTGGGGGCAGCCGGGGTGAGAAGGGGCTCCAGGGATTTAAGTCAGAGCCAGACATCCAGACAGAACACACAGTGTGACAGAGCTGAGGATGGGCCGTGGAGCCAGGCCCTGGGGGTCCCGGGCGGTCTGCAGCCACTCGCCCTGTGACCTCGGCCCGATGGCTTACGCTCCTGAACCCTCCGAGCTCTCCCTCGGTGCACAGGGGCCAGTGGTCGCCCTGCCCGAGGGCGGCTGTGAGATGAAATCATTCGGAGTGAGCCCTCGCCCCGCCTCACAGGCCCACGAGCCGTCCTCGGTGGCCATCATTCTTGCCGAAATGTCAAAGGGCACAGCTCTCGCTGGTGTTTTTATCTTGCTGAGCAAAGGGAAGGTGACATCCCCAGGGCGGCTGGTCCCTGCCCAGCCCCCACCAGCCTCTTACCTCCGACACTTTCTCCTTCCTGGACATGGTGCTCAAGGGGGGCTCCGTGAGCATCAGGGGGTGCTGCTCGGGGGCCACGCGGAACACCTCGTAGAAGGAGTGATGCCAGATCTGGGGGGAAGGGGCACGGTCAGGTGCGTCCGTCAGCTCAGCGTACCCACAAATGGGCAGACCGTCTACCCCGAAAGCGGCTTCTTCGGTGGCATGTGATGTGTCAGCGGGAAGACAGGGTGTGGCCTTGCAGAGGCCACAGAGCTCCGTCCGTGGCCTTGACAGGACAGGATGGGGGAGGGGCACAGGCCCCTCTAAAGAGCCTTGTGGTCTCCGTGGGGGACAAGTCCCAGCCCTGGGGTGACGGGTGAGCCCGTGACTCAGTGAGGGGAGGGGCGCCCTGAGAGCACGAGCTNCAGTGAGGGGAGGGGCGCCCTGAGAGCATAGGCCTCGGGCCCAGCAGAAGTCCTGATCCCGCCGCCCACGGGTGCCTGACGGGCGACGGGCCTTACGAGCCGTTGCCTCATCTGTAGGGTGGGAAATGTTCCCTCCCTCCCAGGCGTGAGGGTTAGATAGCATGACATCTGCGGAAAGCCTGGTGTCTTTGCTCCCTGTGGCCACGTTAAGTCCCACAAATGTGCGGCTTAAACCACAGACATTTACTGTCTTCCGTCCCGGGGGCTGGGAGACCGACATCCAGGCGTGAGCAGGGACCGAGAGCCGGAGCCACCGAGGGAGCCTGGGGGGAGGGGGGGACGTCCCTTCCCGCTGCCGAGGCGCAGGGGCCGGGGACCAGGTCCCGGCCCAGCAGGGGCTGCAGGTCACCTTCTCCATGCTGTCCCAGTTGGTGATGGTGGCCCGAGAGATGGGATACAGCACGTTCAGGTTCTCTGGTCTCCTCTGAACCTCGCGTCCGATGAACCACTCCTCTTTGTCCAGTCCCACCAGCGGGTCCTGGAAAAGGCAGGGGTTTTATTTTTATTTTATTTTATTTATTATTTTTTAACCCTTACCCGAGGACATTTTTTCCATTGATTTTCAGAGAGAGTGGAAGGGAGGGAGAGAGAGAGACATCGATGGGTTGCCTCCCGAACACCCCCCGACCAGGACCAGGGATCAAACCTGCAACTGAGGTACATGCCCTTGTCCGGAATCAAACCCAGGACCCTTCAGTCTGTGGGCCGATGCGCTAACCACTGAGCCACACCAGCCAGGGCAAGGCAGGGGCTTCGTGAGACAGGCCGGCTCTTGAGCCACCAGAGCTCACTTGCCCGGAGCTCTGACGTCTTAGGAGTTTGTCTTTTAGGCAGAGGGGTCTGGACGGGGGGTGGGATCCCCTACAACGAGCCCAGGGCAGCTGCTGGCCTTCCGGGAGCCTCCACCCTGTTCTCGGTCACGGGGGACACGGACACCCATCCTCTGTTGGGGGATCAGGGTCTGGCAGCACGTGGGGGGGGCACGTTCCTGCAGGTCAGTCCCGGGGGGCAGAGGATGCCCGGCAGGTGGAGCACCGCCCTGCCCATCCTCCTGCTGGCTCCCGGGCCAGTGGCTCAGTGGCAGGTGTCCCTGGGTACTAGCGGCCACTGTGCATCTTAAAAGGACAGGTCCACCCCACTCTTAAAGTGGGAAAGCAAGAAGCACCCTGAACGGGTGGCAGGTTTCTTTTGTACAATCGCCTGCTTTTCTAACTTACGTCACCGGCCGCCTCCGTCTAAGCCTGGCCCTGACAGTGCAGCCCAGCTTCGGGGAGTCAGGTTAGACATACCCCCCAGACCTGCTGCAGCGGGAGCTGTGGGGGGGCGGCCCTCGCATTTTACCCGGCGAGTGCCCAGGAGTCAGGCGCTCGATGACCTTGGCCCCCGCCCGCTCTGAGGGTGCTACTGGGCCAGTCCTGCGGGAGGCGGCCATCTCCAGGCTGAGCAGCACCCCGGGGAGGGCGCCCTGTCACTCACACTGTGCCGAAATCTCCCCAGGACAGTCGGGAACACGGCCAGGGGCACTTCTGCTCCCGAGAAGCCCACCTTGCTGAAGCCGGTGCCAAAGTCGCAGACGAGGGGCACGTTCATCGCGCCGTGTGACCCAGATGGGCTGCGGGGAGATGGGACAGTTATTTGTAACGTTAGCAAAGTGCTGGCCCCGCAACGGGCTCTGCCAGGCATGGCCTCGGGCTCTGAGCTCCCGGGGCTCGCGGGGTGCCCCTCACATGGCCACGCAGGTGGCTTCCCACACCCAGGGCAGGGCCCTGCCTGGGCGGCCGAGCCACCGTCCACACGCTGTGGGCAGTTTGCTGGGAAGGGTGGGCTTTCAGGTGACCACTGACACGGGGCTGTGCTGGAGAAGGGAGGCCCACGGGTGACAGCCTCCACCACTCCCGGGCGTGGCCCGTGACTTGCTCCACGGGGCTCATCTGAAGCCGCCCGTCTCCTGCTCGCTGGGGCTGGGGCGGGGAGGAGACCCCAGCAGGCCCGGGGGTCACAGCCCGGGCCCTTCTCCCAGCTCCTGTGCCGCCTCCCCGGGGCGGCCCTGCCCTCCTGGCCCTCCCCCCACTTCTGTTCCAGACGTTCCCAGGGCTGCACAGGTTAGAAAATGGGAGAAAAACATAAGGAAGAAAATGGTAGTCAGCACGGCCCCCCCACGGTGGCCCAGTTTTATTTGAGAGTCGGTTTCAATCTATGTCCATGTGTCATTTTTTTAAAAGGGAATTATGCTCAAAAAAGGAATCCATTTCTCTTCCACATATTGCACTTAACTGAACCTTTATCATGACCAATGTTTTCTTTGAAAGGGATTTTCATTCCTTTCCAGACAGAGAAAGACTACAGGTTCATTACAGAAAATAGAGAAAGCCCCGGGGGAACAAGCTGGCCCCGCCTGCGCCCCTGGGGCTCACAGGCGGCCTCTGCTGATGTCGGGGGTTTGGGGTTCAGTCCTACCTATGACGGAGCCCCTTTCCCGTGGTGCGGGCGTGTGAGGATGCTCCAGGCTTTACCGTGCACACGTTACATATAAAACAGCACATGTACGGGTGAGCACCAGCCTTCCTTCTGGACATGATAAACGCCCCGTGTCCGTGTCACATGAAACACTTTCTGGTACCACCGAGCCCGCCACGTGGACGGCTGTGGCTCCTCTAACCCCGCCCCCGTGCCCGTGCGGACGCCTGGCGCCGATCGTTCTGGTTTTGTCAACCCCGCGAGGAGCTCCTCNCCGATCGTTCTGGTTTTGTCAACCCCGCGAGGTCAGCAGCCTCTGTCCGAATCCTGGGTTAGCCCTTTACCACCTGCGTCCTGAGAACGACTCGCTGGAAGACCAGGAATTTTGAGAGGCCCCGTAAACGTGTTGCCAAATTGCCGTCGGGAAACGTCGGTCAGTCTCAGCTGCCACGTCAGGACACGTTTCCCACTGTGCTCCGTGACGTCCATGTGCCCGGCGTCCCCGACGGGCCACAGGCTCCTCCCGGCACCCTGTGCGCCCCGGACGCTCAGCTGATGTTTGTTGAATTGCTCTGGAATCCTGGGCTGTCCTTTGGGGTCACATCGCAATCCCCGCTTTGGAATTCTGGGGGCGTCCCGGTTGTGTGTCTGCTGGTCGAGTAACTCCAGCCACGTGCAGCTTCTCAAAGGCGGGACCTCGGCTGCCCCCCGCCTCCGGCACAGGGCTCGGCGGGGGGGGCTGGGCCTGCGCTGGG